AAAAAAAAAAAAAAAAAAAAAAAAAACTTAAAAAAACTTTGCTATTAGAACAAAAAATTGTTAATCTACTTGGTCAGATTGATTCATTAAACTGTAATTATGTTAGGTATGTGTATTTTTAATAATTCAATATATAAATCACTAGATAATATCGCCCTTGAGAATAAAATGGTACTTTATTTAACAATTAAAGTTTCATAAATAGATTAAATTAACCCCTAATATGCTTGTAATGAGTGAACCCACCAGCATTACCCAAACACATAATTGGGCCTTTTTCTCCCATGCGCTAGGCCAAAATATACCACAATGATGAGTCCACTCAATGTCAATCTCAGTTTTTTTTTTGTTTTTTTTTTTTTTTTTTTTTTTTTTNTTTTTTTTTTTTTTTATTATTTTTTTTTATGTCATAAAATATATTCATTCCATTCCAAATTTTAATTGTGAGAATTTTTATTTTTATACTTTGGTCCACATGAGATATATATTTCATTTAAAATACTTTTTTCTTTCTGTACTGTGAGATATATGGACAAATTAGAAAAAAAAAAAAAAAAAATGTTAGATATTTGTCCCTCTTCCTAATATATGAGCACAAATTACATTGTCTTCACACCGTCTAAAGATTCAACTGTCACTTTTGTAATTGAATTGCATAATTATTCATTTTTTTTTGTTTAAATTGTTTTTTAAGCGTGACATTCAAATATAAAAATATATGATTAGTTTAATTATTATGTCTACCAAACAATAACCCTACTTTTATACGAGAGTTATGGTCCAACAGAAAAAGACGAACTAATATTAATTGTTAAAACATTTGGCGTTACTTTGTGGAAACTATGGCTCTGGCGAAACACTTCCATATTCCACAGCCGAGATTTTGATGCTTTTAGGAAGGTGAGGGACATCAGAGCCTTCGTGAATGGTGTATTGCACTTTGCTGAAAGGTCAAGAAGGATTGGCAATATAGGGCCTGCTCGGGTCCAGCGTCTTATACGTTGGGAACCGTCGCGGGACTCATGGATAAAGGTGAACTTAGATGGTGCCTATAATAGTTCCTCAAGTATGGCCTCTGCGGGCGGGTTGCTTCATGACTCCCATGGCACATGGCTCGGTGACTTCGTGATGCATATTGGGATTATGGTGGCAAAGTTATGGGGTTATTTCAGGGCCTTACTTTGGCATGGAATTTGTGATATCGACGAATAGAGGTTGAAGTTCAAGCGTTGTGGGATTTGCTAAGAATACCGAAGATATTGCAGGGATCCATTATGGTTTAGTTCTAGGGATACGAGAGCTCCTCGGTTGAGATTGGCAAGTGTGGATTTCTCACTTCTTTCATGAAGCTAACTTTGCCGCGAATTATTTAGCAGCTTCGACGGCTTCGGCATCCCTTGGATAACACACACTTCCTACTCCGCCTTCTGGTGTAGTTCCGTGGATCGAGCACGATTTGAGAGGTGTCTCCTATGCCTCTCTTAGTTTGTGAATGACCGCTCTCTTAATTCATATATTAGACAACTTTAAAAACATTCAATTTCGTTTCAATTGTGAGTCAAATCAAATTCAAGAAAAGGGTGTTGTAAACGGCTAGAGTTTTTCAACTTTTAGTTAATGCCAACTACAAAATTGTTAGGCAGAAAACACAAGGGTACCTGAGAAAAGCAAAAAACAACTAAAAAAGACTAAACTTTACAACCACTGGGAACTTTCCAAAACCACGCTGTATTTATTGTGTATTGCTAAAAACTACTGCTCTACCATCTGGCACGCCTTAATCAAAGCTTTTGGAAAAAAGTTGCTACAAAATTAAAAGAGTTAGCTATGTAGAAAGAGATTTGTAGAGGCAATTGCAAAAGAAACCCTGAGGCTTTGGCTATTTAGTATTTAACCCCCTACAAGAGCCAAAAATTCTTGAAAGTTCACTTATGCACCTTTGCAAGATCACACCTTTCATCTCTTTTACACGAGAACCCTTATCGACAAGCTCGAGCTCTGCTAATTTATCAGCCAAGCCGAGCTCACAAGTAGCTCGTTTCATTGAACAACTCTTCTCTTTCAGATGCATCATCATATTCTTACAAATGTTAAAGTTACACTAAAAACACGATTAAATTTTAAAATCCTCTGTTTTTTTTCCCTTCGTAAATAGGTCGAAAATAAGGATTCCTGTATTTGAAACAGCTCAAAGAAGAATACAATTGGGATCACACAAGCTTTGCAACTTGGTTAACAACTTAAAACATTATGAGTTTCTTGTTTCTATACAATCTGTGATTCTATATTGTCCAACAAAAGGGCAGTAAAATAACTTCACATCAAGGAAGCACCAAACCAAAAGGATCAAAAGGTTTAGCAAAAAAAAAGTAAAAAGGGCTTCTACAAGCGCACCTCCTTCATGCACCTCTGCAAATTTTCACCCAACTTCAACACCGAAAACCATAATAGCACGAGTAAAACCGCTAACACTCGATTCCCAATTAGGCCGGCAAGAACAATTACACATAGCACACAAGGTTTCCAATTTAGTCCTCCACTTTCGATTTCTTCTCCTTTTTCTCCCCTCTTTGATATTAGTTTGCACGAAGCACGATCAACTATTGTATTAACCTCACGCGAGAAAAAGTTAGTATCTTCTCTAACAATCTCAACAACACTTTGTTGTTGTCCATATTCTTTTCTTCCGCAGCCTTTTATTTTCTTCGGGACGAATCTATCCATCTTCATTTTTAACTTAAACTTCCTTAATTTCCTCTTCGACTCATCTTTCTCCATCGATAAAGCCTCCTCGAATTCGATTTCATGATGCCCAAAACTCGCCTCGTGAGAAGACCCTTCTTCTTCTATTATCTCATCATCATCCTCGGGCTGAATTTCATCCAATACATGCTTAACCAAATACCGATTCGACTCCACAACTTTAATCCCTTCACGATCTTCATGCTTCGATCCAGCTGGCGGATTTAACGAATTATCTTGCTCCAGATTAATAACCTCTATTAATCTCAACCACCTCAAAACCCCTTTCGCCTGCTCGTGCTTACACGCATATTCAAGGAAAAACAACAGGAAGGCTGATATTGTTATCCCAATAGCCAATCTCTTTGTCCCCAAAGCTAAAATCACTACAAAGAACATTTTCACAACCAACAATAAAACTTTATTCACATCAAGACTGTACTCAGCAACACGTTCCCTACCATTGAAAACATTGCTGTTCGATCTCGTCATGAGATTCTCGATTGCAACCTCACGAGGACGAGGCAGGGGCTGGGGCGAATTTGGGGGAACTCGCGGGGGAGGAAACCCAATTTCCGGCGGAATCTCCGGCGAGACAGAACGTGAAGAGGCGTCTGATCCGGCGATCGGAGGATCGCGCGGCGGCTTCTTCCTCTTGGACGGTTTTTTCAATTTCTCGCGATTTTTTATGAAGAGATCGACGAGGGAGGTCGGGAACCCGGTCTCGACGACGAGCGACGACACGTCTCGCCGCTTCTGGGATTTGCTGAGATGATCGTTCACGAACTGTGAAATCCTCGCTGTCTTCACCTTCCTCCATGGCAGGTGCATCTTTTTGGTGCTGCTGAAAAACCCCTGCAAAAGGGGTTCTCAGATGAATCGAGGCTCGAGGGCTCTTAATAAATATCGATAATCGAAAGGGGCTCCTTATAATTCCACGCTCCGGCTCGGAATCTCTGCAAAAAATCCCATCTTGAAGGTTGTTTTTTTTTTTAAAAAAAAAAAAACTGAAATTATTTCCTGAAAAACGGGTAATTGACAGATGAAAGTGGTGAGCTTTTTGGGAAGACTGAAAGAGGTTAAAAATCGGTTTTTTTTTTTTTATTATTATTTCTTCGCCTACTCCTAATAGAGCTCCAATGGCTATCAATGGAGAAGGCTGAAACCCTAATTGTGAAATTTGTGAGGAAGAAGAAAGGGGTTTTAATGGGGCAAAGCAAATATAATTTAGACGCGTGTGAACTGCTTCAACTGTTTAGAATGGACCCTTTAATTTGATGGGAATTTGTTTTTATTTGTGGAAATTAATTGACAATTTGTTTTCATGTGATTAACATGTGGCTTATACAAAATAACAAAACCACTAGAGTATATAGGAATGAATTATATTTGAAAACATTATTTATGTAATTTGAAAACATTATTTATAAACATTAAATTTGTATATAGGAATGAATTAAGTGAAAATTATTATATTTCTTTTGTAACTACAAATTTTACATTTATTTAAATTTTAGAAAGAAATGGAAAGGGTTTAACTCAATGTGAAGGGCGTGCTTGGATATACATATATCCGCTTAAAATAATTTTTTTGTTAGCTAATCAGAATTTAATTTTAATAAATAGTGTAGTTTTGAATCTATATTAAAATAATTAAAGTTATTTTCAAGTAAGAATAGGAGAGATCATATAATGTGAATTGGTAGTTTGTTAAAATTATGTGAGTGGATGAATCGTGAATTAAAGTTGACGTGATGTGTAAGAATAATTAATAAACATTATTTAATTATTTGAATAACATTGAGGACGGTGGAGTGAGTTGAATCTTGAATATGAATTGAGTTTTTATAAACAACTTTTGATGTTTTTTTTTACTTACTAACAATTAGAATTTTAGAGATATTTAAGACTTCAAAATATTGTCTCTTTCAACTAAACAACTCGATTGAGTATTTAGATTTCTAGTGGAATGTCACACCAAGCCATATATTTTTTTTTTCTTGGTATTATAGGCTATTTGGTAAGTGAAATAAGCTAGCTTATAGTTTATAATTTGACTAGCTTATAAACTCCATGTTTCAAATAAGTCTCGTTTCGTAGGATTAGCTTTTTTTTAAAAAAAAAAAAACTCGAGCTTATCTCATAAGCTAGCTTTTCAGCTATATAAGTTATAAACTCAAAAATTACATATCAGCTATCAGCTAGTTTTAAATACTATTGATTTCTATCTGAATATTATTACAATCTTGTTCTTTTTTTTTTTTTT